TTACTACAGGGAATACCATGGCTTTGACTAGGCGGATCTTTGTTGCCAGTCTGATGTCTCTACTCTTCACTATTTTATCGAGACTGCACATTGCTCTCCTCCCAAGAAGTAAGCGTCTTCTGATTTCCTGGCTACAGTCTGCATCTGCAGTAATCTTTGCACCTAGAAATACAAAGTCTGTCACGGCCTCCACGGTTTCTCCCTCTATTTTCCAGTTGTCAATCATTCTTGTTGCCATAATCTTGGTTTTTTTGACGTTTAGCTGCAACCCGGCTTTTGCGCTTTCTTCTTTTACCTTGATTAGAAGGCTCCTCAGCTCCTCCTCGCTTTCGGCCATCAGAGTGGTGTCATCTGCATATCTGAGGTTGTTAATGTTTCTTCCAGCAATTTTCACCCCAGCTTTGCATTCATCCAGCCCCGCACATCGCATGATGTGTTCTGCATACAAGTTAAAAAGGTTGGTTGAGAGTATGCAGCCTTGCCGTACGCCTTTCCCAATCTTGAACCAGTCTGTTGTTCCGTGGTCAGTTCTGACTGTTGCTACTTGGTCCTTGTACAGATTCCTCAGGAGAGACAAGGTGGCTTGGGATGCCCATCCCACTAAGAACTTGCCACAATTTATTATGATCCACACAGTCAAAGGCTTTAGAATAGTCAATGAAGCAGAAGTAGATGTTTTTCTGAAACTCCCTGCCTTTCTCCATTATCCAGCGGATATTGGCAATTTGGTCTCTGGTTCCTCTACCTTTTCTAAACCCAGCTTGAACATCTGGCAACTCTCGCTCCGTGTATTGCTGGAGTCTTCCTTGCAGGATCTTGAGCATTACCTTACTGGCATGAGAAATAAGGGCCACTGTACGGAAGTTTGAGCATTCTTTAGCATTTCACTTTTTCAGTATGGGGATATAAGTTGATTTTTTTCAATCTGATGGCCATTCCTGTGTTTTCCATATTTGCTGACATATGGCATGTAACAACTTGACAGCATCATCTTTCAAGATTTTAAACAGTTCATCTCAGATCCCATCATTTCCTGCTGCCTTGTTATTAGCAACGCTTCTTAAGGCCCATATACTTCACTCCTCAGGATGTCTGGTTCTAATTCATTCACCACACCGTCGTAACTATCCTCAATATTATTATCCTTCCTATACAGATCTTCTGTATAGTCTCGCCACCTTCTCTTGATCTCTTCAGCTTCTGTTAGGTCCCTGCCATCTTTGTTTCTTATCATACCAATTTTTGCCTGAAATTTACCTCCTAATGTTTCTAATTTTCTGGAAGAGGTCTCTTGTCCTTCCTATTCTGTTGTCTTCTTCCACTTCCTTATTGGAGTGCCTCATACTGCACTCCAATAACTCCCTCCATGACTTTCAGCAACATCTTGCCTTTTAATGATCATTATTAAAACTGAACTTACACATCATCAACTTACCCACAAGTTTTATATTTTTATTGTTATTCATACATACAGCCAGCCTATAAAGGTCTATTCCTGAGCATTTCATGCATCTGAGGATGTCTACAAAAGTTTATGCTACCATTTCTTTTTCATGCTATGTCCAAGGTGCAGAAACGTTGTCAAAATCAGTGACTATAAAAACAGCAACTAAAACAACACTGAAGATATCAAGTGATGTATGCTTTCTTAAGAATCAATTCTGAGATTATATTTAAAGTTGAAGATCTGTACTGGTTGAGGATATTAAAATTGTTAATCTTTAATTAGCAAGAACTGTACATTCCAATTCATGTTGTAAACGTTGCCTTTCTGCTGTTTTTATTTATTGATAACTAGCCGTCCCCTGCCATGCGTTGCTGTGGCCCTCATGGGGGTTCTGTGTGGGAGGTTTGGCCATCATTGGTGGGGTTCAGAATGCTCTGTGATTGTAGGTGAACTATAAATCCCAGCAACTACAACTCCCAAATGTCAAGATTCTATTTTCCCCAAACTCCACCAGTGTTCACATTTGGACATATTGAGTAGTCATGTAGAGTTTGGTCCAGATCCATCATTGTTTGAGTCCACAGTGATCTCTGGATGTAGGTGAATGACAACTCCAAAACCAAAGGACACTGCCCACCAAACCCTTCCAGTATTTTCTGTTGATCATGGGAGAACTGTGTGCCGAGTTTGGCTCAATTCCATCATTGGTGGGGTTCAGAATGTTCTTTGATTGTAGGTGAACTATAAATCCCAGCAACTGCAACTCCCAAATGACAAAATCAATTTTTTTGAGTGAAGGACATACATTGGGTTATTAGGTGTCTTGTGTCCAGATTTGGTGTCAATTCGTCCAGTGGTTTTTGAGTTCTGTTAATCCCACAAACGAACATTACATTTTTATTTATATAGATAAACATACACACATATTGGTTTAAAAACTTTAGATACTTGGTCAGTATCAATTAAAGTTTGTAATATGAAAAGGACCTCAGAAGTATGTAGTTTGTGCTGCAGGGCCAAGTTTGAATTGTAGCAAATGTTTTAATTCAAAATGTTACCATTTTGTTGATAAAAGTAAGTTAAACTGCTCTTGCAGAATTGAGAAGGACATAAACCAATCACTCTCCCTCACATATTTGAATTAGGGCAGCAATTCCATTATCTGCCCACATCTTCCATAATTATTTTTTTCTTCACAACCTTCAAATCCAAATTCTCCCGTAAGGTCAATTTAGTACAAGCAGGCATGTAGCCGGGGGGGGGGGGGGGGGGGGGGGGGGGGGGGGGGGGGGGGGGGGGGGGCCGCGGGGGGCTTCAGCCCCCCCCAAATTCTCATGGTGGTTCGCGAAAAGGCCTTACTGGTGCATTATTTAAACTGTTATGTTTATTCATATCATGATCTGATCACCATACTCAATATATCCCATATGCAGACAAAAGGTTTGCTAGGCTAGACCTTCTTTCACTCAGACTCAACCCCCCCCCCGCGAAACTCAGCCCCCCCCAAAAAAATCACCCCCCCCCCGAAACAAAATCCTGGCTAAGGGCCTGAGTACAAGCATAAGAATCAAACTGCAGTTGACAAGACAATAATTACACGTTATATAGCAGAATTTGCTATTTTGGATATGTTAGTCATAGAATCATATAATACGACTCAAAGAGACCACATGGGCCATTAGTCCAACTCCCTGCCATGCGGGAAAAGCACAATCAAAGTACCCCTGATAGATGGCCATGTTTTAGACTAACAGTGTAAAACTTGTGGTTCTCTAGATTGTTTTGAACTTTGGTTCCCAGAATTCCTGACCATTGGACAAACTGGTTAAGGCTTTGAGAGTTGGAGTCCCAAACACCTGAAGCACCACAAGTTTGACACCTCTGTTTTAGACAACCATACCACTAATTGCTTGTTACAGATCTTATTGGCTTTTGAGAGCTGATATCTAAAACGCCCACTGGACCAAAGGTTCCTAATGTCCCATGCTGAGACAAAGGGGGAAAAAAAACCATATTAGTTAGAGAAATCCTATTGAATAAATTGCTCAGTGATGTGCTGACATATAGGTACATGCAAGTGATTCAAAGGATCTGCTCTAGTTACTCTTCGTGCCTTGAGGAGAGGTGGGTAAGAAATAAAAATTATCATTAGTTTGGACTGGTGACATGATCCAAATCAACCTTTCCATAATTTCTGAAGCTTCAATGAAATCAGACCATGCATGTTCTTACCTACCATCTCAGACTTATCTTCCTTTCCACACAGGCAGGCCTGTAGCTGGGGGGGGGGGGGGGGGGGGGGGGGGGGGGAGTGTCTTGAAGAGCTTCAGCCCCCCCCACCCCTGAAATTCTCAGGGTGGTCCATGAGAAGGCCTTACTGGTGCATTATTTATACTGTTATGTTTATTCATATCATGATCTGATCACTATGCTCAATATATCCCATATGCATTGAGGTATTGGGATAATGATACAAAAGGTATTTTTAGATGACACATGGGCAATGTGAACCAAACTGGAACATCTGGATTTGTCCTCCTTGCGTTGTTCACCAAAACAGGAACTCAAGGGATCCTCTTTTCTCTCTTTCTCTCCATTTGTTTGCTCACCCTCCTGGTAAATTTGATGATCATCCTGCTCATCAGAACTGACTCCCACCTCTTCCATACCCCCATGTACTTCTTTCTCAGTCACTTTTCCCTGGCAGATCTTGACTTTGCTTCTACCACTGTGCCCAAAGCTTTGGAGAACTTATTATCACCCACAAAGGCTAACACCTACTGGGGCTGTCTCACCCAAATGTACTTCTTTGTGGCTTTTGGCATCACAGACAGCTTTCTACTTGCTTCCATGACATATGACTGCTATGTAGTCATCTGCCACCCATTGCGTTATTCTGTCCTCATGAGTAGAACAAGCGCTGTGTCATGCTGGTAATGAGTTCTTTGCTGCTAGCTCAACTCCACTCACTGGTCCACGTTGATGGCCCAGCTCTCCTTTTGTGCATCCAGGGAGATCCCACACATTTTTTGTAATGTTCAGCCCCTCTTGCGTCTCTCTTGCTCCTCTACTCTGCCCAATGAACTCGGGGCTTTCACAGAGGGCTCCTTGATCATTACGGGTCCTTTCCTCTTTACTGTGGTCTCATATATACTCATCCTGGTAGCCATCTTGAAGATGCCATCAGCTGCTGGGAAGCGCAAGGCTTTCTCAACATGTGGATCTCACTTGGGGACAGTCTCCCTGTTCTATGGTACTGTGATTGCAGCCTACATTCAATCCTCCTCATCCTACTGCGTCACGAAGGACCTGGTTGTAGCAGTTCTCTACGCCATGGTCACACCCATGCTCAACCCTTTTATTTACAGCCTGAGGAATGAGGATGTGATGGGAGCAATGAAGAGGATTACAAAGAGATGAAGGAAATAAGGAAATCTTTGGATATTGTACCTTAGAGATAGCCGATTCTTCTAGAATGAAAACTTGATCAGTTAAGCATCACTGTCATTCCTCAAAGCAATGATAGGTGATTTTCTTTGCCAGCCAGATAAGCCCAAAATGTTTGTACAATTCACCTGAAGCTAAGAGTCTGCCACTCATGGACACAGAATATGTTCATTTGTTAGCTCTTTTATTGACAGCCAAGCCCTTTACCCAAGGCTTTGTCTCGAGTCTTGTACCTTTGTCTTTTGAACTCCATATCTTTGTTTGGCATGGAACTGGCCATTTAAGCTAATCAAATGTCCATCAGCGTGTGCCATTGTTTTCCCTGGACTGCACCTTCCCAAGGGACGTCTCTACGGCTGATTGGTCCTCCATTCTGACCAATATCCAGCTACCATTCTCCCCGCCAATTAGGAAATAACATTTACAACCCAGGAACAAAAACCATGTTACATAGTGTAATGTTAAGTTCCTTTGTCCGAAAGGTCTTTTTTCAGCAATAGAGCAGAGGGGTGGGAGAGCTTTTCAAAAAGTCCGTTGGGGTAGCTGTAAACTAGGAATAACAGGACCAAAAACGTGGGATCACTCTTGTCCAGAATGTATTCTGAAAGAAGGAAGGAAAAACAAGAAGGAGAAGAGAGAGAGAGATCATTCATGGGACAAACAGGGATCTAGGAAGTCAACTTAGATCTAGATGCAGATAACAGCTAGGTTGGGCATATATTAGGACTCGAAAGATGAGAACATAAAATACCATTTTCATTTTAAGATGCTGTGGACCTGAGCTCCCATACTTTTTCCCAATTGCTTTTAAAGATAACACTAATGAGAATCAGAGTCAATCTGATAAGACAGAGTGAAAATGGAATGGATAGCTCTATAAACAGCATAGGAAGGAAAAAGGTACAAAATTATCAGAATCACGTTGTGCCGTGCTTTGTTCTCAAGCCCATATTTATAATGCTGTGGGTCTGCACGCTCCCTCCCTTGGAGGAATAAATGTGGTCTAGCAGAAAAAGATAAAACTACTTATAGTAGTGGCATGAATGTATGTAGCTTTTGACAACAAGCTGGCATGTTTAATACATTATTAAACTAATTAGTGGTGAATGTGTGTGCCACTTAGAAAGTGTCCACATGCCACTAATGCACACGTGCTTGGGTTGGCCACCCCTGCTCAAATGGGCCATTGGTCTGCCTCAGAAGAGCTCTACTTCTTCATTTCAGCGTCTTTAAAACTATTATATCTTCCTTGTGCTGTTAACATTAAGATTTTGGGCTCAAGTAAGGTATGTACATGTGATTCTGAAAAGCATTATTTTGAAAAATGTAATGCAACTAATAGATCAATAATAATATGAGAACAACAAAATGCTAGTGATGGATTTATACCTATATTTATACCAATGTTTAATTTATAGCTGGCTTAAAACCCTTCTACTAGCTATAATTGATGTGAACACTCAAGCCCTTAAGGAAACACCTCCAAACAAGTACAATGACCACAAGTTAGAAGGACCTGTACTCAAATAATGAAGGTGGAGGCATTATTTTTCATTCAACCCTCGTAATGCAAACAATGGTTCATTTATACTACTATATAATACAGTTTCAAATTGCATTATATGGCTAGTGTAGACTCATACATTGAAGTGCATTATATGAATCTACACTGGCTATATAAAATACCGGATAATAATAATAATAATAATAATAATAATAATAATAATAATAATTTATAATCCACCCTCGTTCCCCGAAGGATCTTAGTTTCAAACTGCATTATTTGGCAGTGTAGATATGGCAAATGAAGCACTTAAGGTGGGCATTCCATAAAATATCAGAAGATATTTTAATAGAACATTTAATTTATCATTCCCTTTAATTGTAAGAAGCAGGGGTGACTGAAAATTGTATCCTATTGATTATGTATCCATAGATTGGGTATTTCATGGTCATGATGGGTTTTCGGCTTGCCTGCATATGAACATGTACTCATATGTACTTTGGATTCAAGCAGCACCCAACAACCTGGCATTGGTTGCCTTAAGTCCTAGAAGACGTCAACTACCTTTGGGATTTGACTGATATTTACTCTCATTTCTGAAATGTCCTGTCTGTGAGATCATGGAAGAAGTATGTGAGTAGTAGTGTGTGGCTGTGTGGTAATTTATACATTTCACATATACAGAGTAGGCAACAATTGAATAGTACAGATTTGAAAGGGAGATGAAGACATGTTCTACCGCTGTGGATGAGTATGCTCACCTTCTGAACTGGACAGTGGACTTGGGCATACCACTCTAGGGACGGCAGGCTGAACTGAAGCGCTACACCCACCAGGAAGCATGCCCAAAATTGGATATTCTTATTTGGGCTTTTGTTCCCACGATTGGGGGTAGAATGAATTATTCCTGTGAAGAAGAATGGCGGCAGATTAGGTGTGCTTTGCAGGCTACAGTGAGCAAAAGAGATCACTGGATTTTATGAGCTATCCCCGTTTTAATATATTCTGGAAATGGTGCAATTCCTATTTCATGGACCCCCATGTATTACCAGCTAGAAATTAAACTAATTTCCATATATTTTCAGAAAAGTCATATCCTATGAGGAGAACAATGAGGAATACAAATCAACTTAGGAACAGTGTAAGGCAGACAGTAAGGAAGGTGTGGGAATCTTTTGCTTTCCAGATATTTTAGATACAGTCCTTATAATATTTTATTATTGGGCATTCAAACTGGAGTAGACATCCAAAAGATATTCTCTATCCCTGTCCAAAAGGGATTCAAAATAAATGTTGGGTCCATTTTGCTTGTAACGTTTAAAACATTTTTTTTAAAAAAAACCTTTAAATATAGCACTAAACCTGCAAATAGAAATTTTAAACCATTGAAGAGAACAAAGAACTGCCGTGAAGGTTGCCATTGGTTTTGTTCTATAGAGGCATATAACACACTATACCCAAGCAACAAGAAGCACATATGCACTCCTCTGTGTGGCATAAAGGCTGGATTTTCACATAAAATAAAGGGACTGAAACTATTTTATTCTTCTGCATGTTAGGTGTGGGCTCCCAGGTGGCACAGTTGGTTAAACCGAAAGGCTGGTGGTTTGAATCCAGGGAGCAGGATGAGCTCCTGCTGCTAGGTCCAGTTTCTGCCAACTAGCAGTTCGAAAACATGCAAGTGTGTGATCAGATCAATAGGTACAGCTTTTGCGGGAAGTTAACGGCACTCCATGTAGTCCTGCTGGCCACATGACCTTGGAGGCGTCTACGAACAATGCCAGCTCTTTGGCTCAGAAATGAAGATGAGCACCATCTTCCAGAGCCAGACATGACTAGACTTAATGGCAAGGGAAACCTTTACCTTCATCTTATGTTAGGTGTAATTGTGGCTGGATTTATGGTGACTGAATACGGATTAATATATTTTTAAAAGATTTCACGGTTGTTCTAAACAAACCTCTCATCTTTTCGCAGACATGGATTTTTTAAAACTTACATTCAATGATTTCTCCTCTAACTGATCCTTTAAGGCAGTACTGACCTCCTAAAACGATTAAGATCCATAATATGAACTGAAATGGGTAGAAGAAGCCAAAGCTCAATGTGATGGCATATTCATGGGCGACAGCTGAAGTAATGAAGGTAGACAACAAAGCCACAGATTGGGCCTTTCCTTTGAGTATCTGGAAGGCAAGGGGCATAAGTTAGTCACATGGTGGAATCGTGTAAAAAGCATCTGAGCATTTGATGAAGGGGGGTGGGTTGTTCTTCCAGGTTGGAAATGGATTATCAGGGTCAGGTAAGCTGTGGGTGCCTAATGCCGTTGGATGCAGATGCTGTTACATTATAAATGCAACATTCCCTGATCACTAGACTATTTATTTTGAGGTGATGGGGCTTTGCATAAATAATAATAATAATAATAATAATAATAATAATAATAATAATCTTTATTTATACCCTGCCACCATCTCCCCAACAGGGACTCAGGGTGGCTTACATGAGGCCAAGCCCAATCAACAAATTACAGCAAAATAAAACCAAAAACACATGCAACAAATAACAACATCATAATTACATAAAACATATGAATATATTAACGATATAAGATTACAATAAACACAGTCACAGTGACAATGGGTGGCGAAATGTGCGAGAAAATGGTTAAAAAATTGATTAAAAACTGATTAAAAACATGGGTGAGATAAAAGGAGGTGCAGGTTGTTTGCTGAATATATCTTAATGGCCACAGATTCCCCACCCTTGTTGTATGTACCCATCTGTCTCTATTTACCCAATCAACAGACTGTTTTACTAAGGCTTACTTACCCACATGAGGTCCTGATAGACATAATAGTACAGCCAGTCATGTACTATCAAATTCCAGTTCCGGAAATATACAGGGAAAGATGTGGCATTCCACCAGTCCTGGACAGAATGGAAAGAAAAAAGAAAGGATGAGTTTTGATAGGAGTCGATGTAGTGTTCGGCAGGCTACTGGGGCCATCTTCCCCTATCTCAGTGGTTCTCAACCCGTTTTGGCCTACAACTCCCAGAAATCCCAGCCAGTTTACCAGCTGTTAGGATTTCTGGGAGTTGAAGGACAAAACATCTGGGAACCCACAGGTTGAGAACCACTGGATCTGTTCCTTCCTACACATAATTTTGTAGCTCTAGGGCAGTGGTTCTCAACATGTGGGTTAGGTCTGGCCTTCAACTCCCAGAAATCCTAACCGCACTGCTTGGATCTCTTTAATCCACATCCTGGTTTAAGTGAATGTATAGAACCACCCCCAGATTGGTATAAGCTATATGTCACAGATTCTGTAACTAGTCTTGCCACAGATTCTGATCCCTGATGATGGCAGCTAGTTTTAACTACATATGGTTTTGTATTTTAAATTGTGTTATTTTATTTTATGTGTTGATAGTGGTTGTTTTATAATTTTTATGAGATATTGTTTTATATTTGTGTATTGGAATTCCTGCCTTATGGAATTCCTTGCCGCCCTATATGAGAGCCATGTGTGATGTGATTTAGGGCCTTTTACCCTAGCACTTAAGACCTGGCTTTTTACTAGAGCTTTTGATCTATGTTAATTTTATCAATATCTGTATGTATGTATTTTTATCCTTTACAATTTAGCTAGAGTATCTTGGATGGAGGGCGACTAATAAGTAATAAAATGATTATGATAATTGTTTATGTTATATACTGCTCTGCAGTGTCTTGTAAGCCACCCTGAGTCCCTTTTGGAAGATGGTGGCGGGATATAATTAAAGTTTATTATTATTTGATACATGACAAGATTAGTACACAGCAGAAAAGATCACTATGCTGGCTGTTGTATTGGATCACACGCCGGACACTTCCCATGTGTCTAGGACTGTGTGATGTATTGGTGAATAATGCATGCAGATCTGAGTTGGGTTGCCTTTTGCAACTGACAGATGGTAATTTTGTCAGTGGCTATTGTTTTTAAGTACAGGCCAAGGTCTTTAGTCACTGCACTCAGTGTGCCAATCACTACTGGGACCATATTTACTGGCTTGTGCCAGAGTTTTTGCAGTTCTATATTTATTATTTTAATTATTTTATTGTAAAATTATTATTATTATTATTATTATTATTATTATTATTATTATTCTATCATTGCCCTTCAAACATCATAATTTGTATTTGCTTCTTATTTAATTTTCTTTTCTGTGGAATTCTGAACACTTGAAATTTATTTGCAAAATGTGAATTTCAGTGTTTACTGGGAGTCATTAGATGTGTGCAGATGAAACAGGATATAAGATAATCCAGCCCTTTCTCCAGAACCCTCCCAAACTCCTACAATCACCTTGTAGAAACTGCGGTCAGCAAAGCGCAGCATTTCAGCAAAGGCATTTTGCCAACAGTGTAAAAAGCCAAAGAAGCTCAGCAGCAAGCAATATATTGCTGTGGGGACAGAAAACATAAAGTCACTTAGAGTGCACCAATACATTATGTTAAAATTGAAACGAATAGGAAGCATCTGAGGCTGCAAAGTCCGCCATAGCTTGATAAACAATACTAGATGACCTGTAGATATTCTGATTACACCCACTCCCTCTCTAATGGCATACAGAATTTTCTTTTAATTCAGGAGTTGGAAACCAATAGTAAGTAGGTACTAACAGTATCTAGTTTCCCTCATTCTGTTTAAAGAAATGTTTGAGTGATCCCAGCCCTGAAGATCTCTTGCCTTCCTCTGTAGTTACACTTTTTTCATTGTTTTCCAAAGTAAATGAGTTAAAAGATAAAGAAATAATTTTCCTGTGGGATATCTGGTTGTTTGTTTTAATGGAGTACAGTCAGTCCCTGAGTTGCAAACATCGGACTTACAAATGACTGATAGTTAAGAACAAGGGAGGGGGAAGGTGAGACAAAAGGAAGTGAGAGAAATCTATCTCTGGGAAGGGAAATTCACTCCTGAAAGAGTTATCATAAGGAAAAGGTGTCTCCACTGCAGCTTCACCACCAATCTTTCTTTCCACAACAAGCCACGTTTCTCAAAATCCAATTATAACAGGGACAGAAAGTGAGGTGAAATGTTCTGAACAGGGGCACAGACAGCAAAACAAACACCAGATGGGTGTTCACCCCTGTGCTATCTAAACCTAATATATACATAGTTTTGGCTGCAGTTACACTTAAAAAATGTACCTCTTCTGACTTACATTCAAATTCAATTAATAATAATAATAATAATAATAATAATAATAATAATAATACTTTATTTGTACCCCACTACCATCTCCCCAAGGGACTCGGTGCGGCTTACATGAGGCCGAGCCCGAACACAACAATACAAGCAATAATCACAACAATACAAGCAATTAAAAAATAAGAACATAGACAATAAACATATAACATTATCAATAAGACAACATACAATTAAAACTGTATCTACAGAACCTATCTTGTTCATAACATGGGGACTGTAACCATAGTTTGTCTACTAGGTTAAACTATAATCCAGTGATTAAATCAGATCAGCGTTTCTCAAACTGTGTTCCTTGATATGTTTTGGACTTGATTTCCCAGAAATCCCAACCAGCTTACCAGCTGTTGGGAATTTTGGGAGCTAAAGTCCAAAACATATCAAGGAGCACAGTTTGCAACACTTTGGATTAGATGATGAAGGAAGGGATAGGAAGGAAGTTTAGACCCCATGAAGTGAATCTATGCATGGATATATAAAGTTGCAAATGACACTTTAGCACTTCCCAGTGATGTTCACTCTCAATTGCAATCTGAGCTGTGCTTATTAAGAAGCAAGTACACAAAATTTTATCACTTATACAAACAATGAAAATGCATCTGTTTCAAATATTTAAATAAATTGTAGCATAATGTCTATCTTACCTCACCCCTCTTTGCATTAAAAATCTATCCAGTTTCGGAGCAGAAGAAACACATCTTGCAGTGCAAATCTTACAGCCCTACTGTCCGACCACTGGCAAATTTAAGGTATCACACCCTGGTCGTTGAATTTCGCAAAGCATTGCCAACTCATCTGCAAGATGGTTTTTATAAGTACAGTTTGATTCTCTCTTATCCGAGATTCTTGAAACCAAAAGCTTTTTGAATTTGTAAATATTTTACTCTGACAACCTTGTATTTGCATGTATATAATGAATGACAGCTAGGGAGTGAAATCCAAAATACTTCAAAACTCCAAACTTTTTGTCACCAGCCACCCATGGGAATTTGAGCTAGTCACAAGTGCAATCTCCTCTGAATTTTTCCTCAAAGGGGAAAGAGAATAGGGGGCAAGATTCAACTTACACAAGGCCCTGTAAAAAAAAAAAAAAGCAAACACCTCAGGGGCCTTCCACACTGCCAAATAAAATGCAGATTATCTGCTTTGAACTGGATTTCAGAATAAGGGATAAGGGAGAATCAACCTACACCCAAAATCTTGTTTTTTAAAAAACTGATAGTTATGGTATATAAGAAAATGAGTGACCAACACAATATTCTGCAATGCAAGAATGTGGTTTACACAGCCGTGTAGCCTATGTAGTTGAAACTTTGGGAGAAGCAAAAAAATTACTACAGGGGCGCTGGTTGTTCTCTTCCTTAAAAAACAGCAGAAAACTTATTTTTGCTCATTAGCATATGGAGAGGAGGAGGATTAGATGCTGTTATACTGTTATTAAACCTCTGATTGAGAACTGTTATTATACTCGGGCTTTGCAGACCCTGTCAGTCCAGTTAACAACACTGGCCACATAATCAATTTGCATATTTTAGTGAACCTTCACCACCTCTTGTAAATTGATGTGGATGCTCGATGCTCATGTTTTAGATTAGATATATTTTATCTGATAGGCTATATTCTATTTAACTTTAGGTGTCAGGTTATAATGTGGTTTTATATGTTTGGTTATTTTATGTTATTATATTTGTATTTGTTATCGAATTGAGGCATTGTTTGCTGGAATCAGCCCTGAGTTCCCTCGGAGAGATAGGGCGGAATATAAAGTCTTATTGTTATTGTTAATATGAAGGAAAAATGAAAAAGCTTTCAGCTTTATTTTATTTACTTCATATCAAAAGCATTGCATAAATTAGTATAAAGCTGATAAAAAACAGAGTGCAGGCGGGTAGATATCTTTTGACCAAAAACGGGCAACAGCAATAGCATCGTCTGTAGCCTCCACTAATTCTTCCTCTGTGCATGAGGCAGGACACAATGGACAAGCATACAGATGCGGAGTTGTCTGTTCTGCTCCACAGTCACACAAGGTGTGGGATTCTTTTAGGTTGTGCCATTTTGCCAGTTTGTCTTTTGATCTGCCCACTCCACTTCTGAGTCTGTTCAGGGACTTCCAAGTGGCCCATTCTTGGTTTGCCCCAGGAGGAAGACCCTCGTGGGGGGCCATCCAGTTGGGATTTCCTAGTTTAGCTGCTCAGAGAGATAGATACCCTTGCTGTTGCTGGAGGGATGCCAAGAGGAGTGGTAGTTCTCATAAAGCTTTTCCTTGATTTGAGTACTGGGAGGAGGCTGGTAGCCATGTAGTGGGTGGCTTTTACAGTGTTCAGCCTTATTTCTCTCACATTTAGTAGCAACTTCCCATCGCATATCAGGGGGGCAATGCCAGCTAGCCTGTAGAGTTTCTTAACAGGTGTAGGTTTAAGACATTCTGTGATTATTCTGCATGTTTTTTCAATGATCTGTTCACCTGCTTTGCGTGGATAGACTTATGCCAAACAGGGTATATTCAAGGTATATTCTTTTTTTATCCATGCATATATTTACTCCAGTTGATTACTGCAGCTCAGTTCCACCGCCCTAACCAAACCACTGTTCCATCCACGTACCTGGCACGATTGCATTGAAGATGTAGACCACCAGAGTTTTGAAGCTGAAGGGATGCTTATTTGCGTTACTGAAAACAGGGATGAAGTGGCACTTGTAGAGCATGGCTATAGAAATCAGACATCCAAAGAACTGCATGAAAAAGAAGGGAAGACCCATTTTAATGTGTGAATGTATTTTAAATTGGTATGAAAAGCAAGCTAGGGTTTCACCAGAGCCTTTAAAAAATCCCAGCTGTGCCTGATGTAGCTAGTTCCTGTGGTCTCTCTAACTTACCACAATTCCCCTCCACTTTTACCAAGGTCAGGGGCTTTCAACCCATGAGTCCCCAGGTATTTTGGCCTTCAACTCTCTGAAATCCTAACAGCTGGAAAACTGGCTGGGATTTCTGGGAGTTGTAGGCTGAAACACCTGGGGACCCACAGGTTGAGAACCACTAACCTAGGGCACTGTGGGAACTTTAAGTGACTGCTTTTTGGTAACATATTGTATTTTTTCCAGGACCTCTGGAAAAAAAGAGATTCAAGAGATTGATCACTGAGTGATCCTGAATGCTGTCTTTGGCAGAAAGTCAAATATAAATATCAGTATATGGAAATATCACTCACCTTAGTGAAGTTCCCGATGACATACCCCCAGCGAACATCAGGCGTCCTATGAGTAGTACAAGGGAAATAGCAAATATTGGATGAGGGATTTTTCATTTCAGAATTCAGTTCACTGTTTTTGGGGGCGCTTCCAGGCAGCACTAAATCACAGGTTTTAAACAGGGGCAAAAAAATCCTAGGAGAGGTCCACATACAGACCTATTGGTTTTGGGATAACTGCATCCATTGTCCAGACTTGATGCTTCGTTGTGGGATTTAGAGACTCCCAAGATGGCCACCATGGGACTTCTGCCGGGAATTTGATCTTTTTTTTTTTAATTACGATGCAAACATGTGAAGATGCGAATCATTGTATATGTTCATTCCTGGGTTATATAAGCTGCATGGCCATTTGTGCAAACAGGGTATTGTTCCTGGATTATACATTTCTGTTCTGGATTGCTCTTATTGTGAAAAAATGTACAACGTTGACTAGGGGGGCACAACTTTGTCCTGGCCAGAGATAATGAGCCCTCCACACATTTCATGAAGTTTCTGGCACACAAAGTTTTTGCATTATACTCAACTGTCACCTTTTTAAAGGAACTGATCAATCAGGAAGAAGCATCTAAAATGTGAGAACAAACCCAGATTAAAAATCCTATGATTTCCAATTGCAAGGACATACAGACATGCAAAGATCCACACACTAGGCTCAAATTCACAATATTGCCACTCCTGGAAATCTCACATTTTTTGCCTTTTGTCACAATTGCTCCCAAGTTTACAGGGAATCTGGGCACCCTCCTGTTTGCTGGGATAAAGGTACTGTCTGGATGGGCCCTGGGAAAACTATTGAAGGGTTGGCTTTCTGTACAGCCATCCACAGCCATTTCGGCAGAAAATACCTAGGGCTCTATAGCAACTCTCCCCATGCAGGCTGTGGATGATGGGAACCACAGTCCAAAACTTGTGTGCTGTGTAGGTTCAGGAACAATATAGTGTGTATTCTGAGACTATGCTCTCCCCAAATTCCTTTTTCTCATCCAAGGATCATTGCAATGGAACATTGGGTCTAAGAAAACAGTAAATATTGGTGTGCAGACAGGACTCACCTTGGGTAATGCTCCCTGTAGATGAAAGTAGGGCAGAAGAGAAAATACAGATAAGTAGAGAATTGAGGTGGCTGCATCTTCCCTAAAAGGGGACAAAAAGGATAAAGGAGCGTCTTTGATCAACAAGGCAGAATCAGGGAGACATGGGTTTGTACGGCATGTTGAGAAATGTCATATCCTGAAGCAAGGCTAGGGATGCTATGATACAAGCACCATTTGCAGAAATTCCCTCTCCTGCTCAACCACTAAGTGTCCAAGAGCATCCCAAGAGCCAAGGAAAAGAAGAAGCTGCAGCACTGGAAACTACAAGGCATTCTTCCATTCCTAAATTAAGCTCACCATTATTTGATGTGGCCCGAAGGATGGGAGGCACAGTTTCCCGCAGGAAAGAATGGCTTTTCATCAAAAAACGCAACTAAACAAGAGAGAAAAGCAAATATTGATATGATGTGTGCCCGACACTTACAGTCTAGAATGATGCTGCTGAGACAGGTCCTGAATTGGGGTCCCAAGCCACCTGTTCTTTATCTAAAAGAGAGGTTTCACATCCCCAGTTCTTTTCTTAGGTTTGGCAGATAAATAAATGATGCTGTTCTCCCTTGAGGTTCAATACCACCAGTCAAGGATTTGTATTATACCTGACAGCTCAACAAGGAGCAGTTGAAATGAGCTTCCACTCGGTCTGATGAAGATACGTGCTCCGGCCCGGCTTTGAGTAGCCCTGTTCTCTCCTTTTGGTTACTGGTTGCTTAGAAGCTTTGGTCCCTATTTGCCAATACTGACAGCTTCACACAGAGCCAAAACATCTATGACTGTGGTAATGCTGGGCCAGTATGAAATGCAAGTCTAGGAACCTCCTTAATTCTGTGAACTCTAAAATCAAAATAGTAAATAAAGAGCAACACTCAAAAACAGGGGAATTCCAGACAAGAAACAATCAGGGCCAGCTATTCATCTCCCAACAAAGGAATCCCCCAGGCAGGAAGCAGCCAGACCTTGAAGCTGCCAGGCCATCAAATGCTAATTAAGGTGGCCAATTGAAACACCTATCTCCAAGAGACAAGAGTTTTTTCTCCCACCCTGGACTTTCCACAGATATATAAACCCCACTTGCCTAATTTCCAACAGACCTCACAACCTTGGAGGCTGCCTGCCATGGATGCAGGCAAAATGTCAGGAGACAATGCTTCTGGGACATGGCCATATAGTTCGAAAATTCACAGCAACCCAGGAGCACAACTGTTCTCACATTGCTATCTTTAAACTCTGAAGAAGCCTGCACCTTCTTTTCTGTAAAATGGCAGGAAAGCAGATTTCTGTCCACGTATAAAAATAAATGTTGCTACCATTGGCAATATATTTGAAGCAAGCCCATATGTAAATGCTTTGGGCATCCAATCATAGTACTGCAGCTAAAATTGTAGATCCATATCATAATGGCATACCTGCTCAAGGATTATGATTAAACGGGAGGCAGGTCCAAAAGGCTGGGAGACGACCGTGTAGATAGGATAGAAGCCCAAAACAGTAGTATGGCCAATCAGCAACACCACTGCTGCAATGACCGTGAGGAGAGTGGGGAACTGGAGAGTCTTTACGGAGGTGGCCCAGATTTGTAGCACCTTGTAGGGCATTAATAAGGTGTAGAGAAACATGATAAGCCAAGGCAAGGGTACCATGTGCAGCCCTCCAAAAGAAAAAGTGAATATTTCCAAATCCAGGACAAAGCTGCAAAACACGGAAAGGAAGCAGTGAGCACACAACTATTTGTTTATTTATTTACAGTATTTATATTCCACCCTTCTCACCCTGAAAGGGACTCACAATGCACACATACACAGCAAACATTCAATGTCGTTTTTGGACATACAAGACATACAGACAGATATGTCAGCAATTTTTCCAACTTCAGCTCCTGAAGGCTGCTCGATTTCGGCCACAAGGAAGCGCTGTTGCTTCATCTACTATGATGCCGAGCCTTTGATCGTAGTATTTCCTCCTTGCTCTTTGATAAGCATTTTAATGGTGTCATAAATTAACCCCCTGCATTAAGCAGTCTCTAATTTCTCTGCTCACAGCTCAGCTGTTTTTGAACTGCTTAGATGAACATTAAACTGGACTATGAACAGTCGGGAGCTCAAACTGGACTCGGGCTTCAAACTTGGCAGTGATTTATTGCTGCTAGTGATTAACCAGCTGTGCTGCAGCCCATGTTTCCCTGAAAATAAGACACTGTCTTATATTTATTTTTCCTCAAGAAGACACACTATGGCTTATTTTCAGGGGATGTCTTATTTGTTTATGAAGAACTAGCCGTCCCCTGCCACGCATTGCTGTGGCCCAGTCTGGTGATCTGAAAAATAAAGTAATCAGAAAGTGTTGGTTTCTCATATATGTAATTTCTTTATGCTTGTGGGTAAACAGTATTTCTTGCTGTTTCTTTGCCAGTGTTGATGGGGAGATTGTCTGGTTTGCCTACTCTGGAACATGCAACATATTATTGTCCTTCTTTAGGGGTCTCTTTCAAATCTATGAAACTATACCTGTGTGTGTGTGAATCATATATATCTATTTTTATATATGTCTGGATGGCTCTTTGTCAGGAGAGCTTTGATTACATTTTCTTGTCCTGGTGAAGGGAGTTGGACTGGATGGCTTTAAGTATGGGGGTTCTGTGTGGGAAGTTTGCCCCAAATCCGTCATTGGTGGGGTTCAGCATGCTCTCTGATTGTAGGTGAACTATAAATCCCTGTAACTACAACTCTCAAATGTTAAGGTCTGTTTCCCCCAAACTCCATCTGTGTTCATATTTGGGCATATGGAATATTTGTGCCAATTTTGGTCCAGATCCATCATTGTTTGAGTCCACAGTGCTCTCTGTAGGTGAACAACAACTCCCAAACTCAAGGTCAATTCCCCCCAAACCCTTCTAGTGTTTGGATCTGTTGGTCATGGAAGTCCTGCGTGCCAAGTTTGGTTCAATTCCATCATTGGTGGTGTTCAGAATGCTCTTTGATTGTAAGTAAACTACCCAGCAACTACAACTCCCAAATGACTAAATCAATTTTTTAGTGATGGTCACTCCTTGGGTTAGTAGGTGTTTTGTGGCCAAATTTGGCGGCAATTCATCCAGTGGTTTTTGAGTTATGTCAATCCCACAAACAAACATTACATTTTTATTTATATAGATGGTACAACCATTTGCATTAATGGGACAATCTCTATGGACCCAGTAGCAGACTGCTTGCTGAAGCTTTTCCTCTATCCCCTGGAGTCTGTGTGGGGTGAGAGAGATCCACAGACTGTTACTGGTCAGGGCTGGGGAGCAGCAGCTTTACTGGTGTTTGTGGGGAGTGAGAGAGACTCACAGACTGTTGATGGTTGGTGCCGGGGGAGGGAGACTGACAGTGCTGAGTAAAATGGCAGCCACAGCTTTACTTCTTCCCCCTGAGGACACACAATAATTAAAGCAGAGTGCCCTGCTCCTCATATGGACATTAGGGGAACATCAAGGCAGGATGCTTGAAACATTAAAAAAAGTCACCAGTGGCACCCATGACCATTCTTCTTTGTACCAGCACGATAGCATACCCAATGTAGAAATAGCTAGCCTGTTCTCTTCTAATTTGCTGTGCAAGGTGTGGGGTTCATTTATCCCCCTAAAGTATCGGATTCTGTCCTGACTCCTGGTTTCAAAAGGCTCATCAAAGGCTTAAAGGTCACAACCTCTGAAGATGCTTGCCATAGATGCAAGTGAAATGTCAGGAGAGAATGTGTCTAGAACATGGCCATATAGCCCGAAAAACCTACAGCAATGCAGTGATTCCAGCCATGAAAGCCTTTGACAATATATTTTCTGATTTTTTATCATTAAAAAAACCTCAAACTTCACTTCCCTGATATGCTACATACCATCCATTATCGAGGAAATCCACAATGACTGCCCGAAGAATGAAGATACAAAGCATGGCCACAAAGATGTTGTAGATGGTACGAAAATGTTGCACTTCTAAAAGCTCACTGCAGAAGAGAGACAAACAGGGAAAAATAAGAATAACATAGTACTTTGTAACACACAGAGTACTAATTGAATGAAAACGATCCTAGGATATTGGAGCAGCATATTGACAACAATATGCAAGTGAGAGCTAACACAGAAAAATGGTTCGAGTGTTGGCTCAAGGCTCTGGAAAACCATGGTTTGAATCCTTGGTCAACCATGGAAACCTAGTGACTGATGTGATCAAGGTACACTCAGGCCCCTTCCAGGGCCCTTTCACACAGTTATATAACCCAGAATATCAAGGTAGATTAACCCACAATATTGGCTTTGAACTGGGTTATCTGAGTCCATACTGCCATATATCCCAGTTCAAAGTCAATATTGTGAGATTTTCTGCCTTGATATTCTGGAGGCAGAAGCTCCAGATCCCAGGATATCAAGGCAGAAAATCTCACATTATCTGAGTGTGGACTCAGATAACCCAGTTCAAAGCCGATATTGTGGGATTTTCTGCCTTGATATTCTGGGATAGTGGGCTGTGTGGAAGGGCCCTCAGAGAAACGCTGTCTGGACCAATCTTATCATGAAAAACTCATGATAGGTTTGTCTTAGGATCACCATAGGAATTGAGCTTCACCAAAGCACTATAGGAATGGTATTGTGAGGCAAAATGATTTGTTGTCTGACCCAGCATTAAACACCTAGAATACTAACAACAGGGACTCAAAGGTTTAAGGCAAGGCAATGCCTCGGGGCTAGAGGGGCCCTGCAGGAAGTGCCCAGATGGGGAAGAGGAGCATGGAAATCACAGAAGGAAGGAGGGAGGACATTTCTGCTTCTGTCCTGTCTTTTTTCCTCCTTTCCTCCCTCCTCATTTTGCCTTTTTCACTTATTGGAAATGGAGAGAGAGTTGGGGAACATTCCTTTAATTGAAGGGGAAATGCTAGAGAAAAAGGGAGTGTCGGAAAATATGGAATGTCAGACAATCAAAGGTTGGATAAGTGCATCCACAGTAATTTTCAAGAAGATCCCTTGAAAAAAGCAAACAATGTGTTAGATATGTAAACATAAATGTTTGTTGTGTTTTTGTATACCTTGTAGTTTTATGTACTGGTATTTAAAAGTATATGTTATTAAAAATAATTGGGGAAAAATGTTCCATGTGCTTGGGCATCATGTATCCTAGGATGAAAGGAACTTATCCTGGGTCATCTGAGAATTCTGTAGAACTCCAGGCCATTTATTTCATTCCCGTGTCGCTCTTATGTTTTATCTTTATCTATCAGTGCTGGCAAAGAGAGAAAGCCGTACTTACTCAATTAAGGACTTGCATTCAACAAAGACTTTCTGCTTCTGAAATATGGGGTGCTTCTCCCTGTGGGATTGCAAAATAATAATGGATGGGTTTAAAAGGCCATTTTAGTGTATTTATTGTATTTTAATGCTGTTTTTACCACACTTACTATTAAATTGTTTTTTAACTTTTGTATTACACTTTCTATACTTGTCTAGTGTGGATTGTTAGCCCTCTTGAGTCTCCATGGGGATAAAGGTGGGGGTATAAATAAAATTATTAATTAAAAAATAATAAGCATTAGCATTATTGCTCTAATTTTGTGCCCAAATGGTCTTCTATTTTCTGTCATTCAAGTTGCCATACCAGAATACCCCTCCCTTTCTACAAGACTAGCTGCCTTGAAACTAGGCCTAGGCGCAATGGGTGCAAATTAAAGGAAAGGAGATTCCACCTGAACATAAGCAGAGGCGACCCTAGGTAATTTTCAACAGTAAGCAAACAGTATTTTGCCCCCCCCCCCCACCAATCCCTGATATATATTTTCTGTTCGTTGTGGGAGTTCTGTGTGCCATATTTGGTTCAATTCCATCATTGGTGGAGTTCAGAATGCTCTTTGATTGTAGGTGAACCATACATCCCACTACCTACAACTCGCATATGTCAAGGTCTATTTTCCCCCAAGAGCACCTCAAGAGCGCCCCTGGGCAAAATCAACTATACTGCAAATGCTCACTTTGCATAATGGGCTGAGCTGCCCCTGAACATAAGGAAGAACTTATGTTCAGGTTGAAGAGCTGTTCAACAGTGAAACTTTCTGCTCCAGAGTGTCGTGGAGGCTCCTTCCTTGGAGGCTTTTAAACAGAGGCAGGATGGCCATCTGTTGGGGGTGCTTTGTGCTTTTTGTGCATGGCAGGGTTGGACTAAATGGCCCATGTGGTCTCTTCCAACTCTATTATTCTATGATTCTAATTTTTTTCAATTCAATATTGTTTTTATTAAAAGTTCATTGTGAACTGATACTTTACTTTGCTTATCTTCCTCTTTCATTCCTTCCATGTTTTGTGTGTATCTTTTACATGCTAAACATGTGGGCAGGGACTATATTTTGATTAAGAAGTGTTGCATACAGAAGCTGGCATATTTTAGACATAGCTGGCACTTGCCATGGTTCCTGTTTCTCCTTGGTCTGTCCTTGCAGTCTCCTTGGTTTATTCCTTTCATCAGTACCCATCATCTCCGGCTTCATGTTGGTACTGATTTTAAAGAGGCTCTTGTTGAGTTTGACAATCTGTCCTCCTTATCGGAGGAGGGGAAAAGGTCCTCACCTGGAAGGAAAGAAATGCAGCTCTTCAGTGAAAAGATGATTTATGTCACATTAAATTGGGATCTCAAAGCTGATGACCTCACTCCAACTTCCAGTTTTGAAAAAGAGACATTTCCCATTTAAATTGGCAACACATTTCATTTTGAAAACAGAAAACAACATTTAGCACATTTGGCTATAGTTTTTCAATGAACATTGTTGTAGCCCAGAGACCTACTTGATCCCCTTTTCATCCAAACACCACACAGATGAACAAGAATATTAAGTTTATTAAGAAAAATGTATATAATATAAAACAGTTTTATAATACATCTAGGTGCTAGATTTCCAGAAGCTTAGCAAAAAGCAATGATCAACTTTGAATAGGAATGAACTCTTTGAACTCTCCTGGACTCAGTGCTAACGCTTGAAGCACAGGTGTCGGCAGTGGCCGGGAGAACCTTCGCACCATTAAAACTCATGCGCCAACTGCGACCATACCTCGTGAAGTCTGACTTGACCATGGTGGTCCATGCCTTAGTTACCTCTAGAGTGGACGATTGCAATGCGCTCTACGTGGGGCTACCCTTGAAGACGGGCTGGAAATTACAACTTGTCCAATGGTCAGCAGCCAGATTAATAACTGGGGCAACTTACAGGGCGTGGTTAACCCCCCTGTTTAAGGATCACCATTGGCTACGGTTCATCCTCCGGTCCCAATTCAAGGTACAGGTTGTTATCTATAAAGCTCTAAACCGTTTGCGACCCGCCTACCTTTGTGACCGTATCTCTCTCCATGAACCAGCCCGAATTCTTCTATCCTCGGGGGAGGCCCTCCTTTTGCCCTTGCCAGTTTCTCAGGCTCACCTTGTGGGTACAAGGGAGGGAGCCTTTTCCTCTGTGGCCCCCCGACTCTGGAACTCATTGCCCAGAGTGATTAGGAAAGCCCCTACTTTAGAAACCTTTAAAAAGGGTCTCAAGACCTGACTCTGCCGTTGCGCTTTTGGAGAGTAGTCACATCATTTTATGCTATTGCTCCCTCAATGCTCTTGACCCAGGAGTTCCCCCCCTCCCACTGTACGAAGGTTTGTTTATTTCTCCGTCTCTTTATGAGTTCTCCCTTACAAACAGTTCTGCCCCTTTATCTCACCCTGAGTTTTTAAATCATTTTATGTACATGCGGTCTGCTCTCTGTCATTATGTTTGGTTTCTATGTTTTGCGTATATTGTTTATATGCTTTGATGTTTTATACTTTATTGTTATGTTGTTTATTTTATTGCAATTTGTATTTTTGTATTGTAATTTGCTGTTCAGCTTGGCCCCATGTAAGCCGCTCCGAATCCCCGTTGGGGGAGATGGTGGCAGGGTATAAATAAAGATTATTATTATTATTATTATTATTATTATTATTATTATTCCAAACATCATTTAAAACAGAAGCAAGAAACTGTAATCCAAGGGTTGTAGCACTTAAACTAGAATTATGCAAAATCTTGAACATGACCATAATCCAAAGGCTTGATACTTGAACTGGCGTTTAATCCCAAAGGCTTGAAACTTGAAACAAAATTTGTAATCTAAACAGGAGGCATGGAACTTAAACAGGAAAACAAGATACGTACCCAAGAACAGAACTCCTAACTCGGAGCTCCCAAGATAGGTAACTTGACACATGGAAATCCAACACTGATCTCCCCAACGAGCATTGACTCCCAATTCCTTAAGAATAGTCCTTCTGGCCCATGACATCTCTCTTTCTCATGCGTAGGATCCCTTCGTTTATCTTTCAGTTTCTGTTTCGTACTAATCCATCTGATCTGTAACCTACCTGTTTCCTCCACATTTCTTTCAGAGTTATTTCCCGGCTGATTCTCACGAGAACCACTGCCTGTTTCCCTGACAACAGATCTACCCAAAACATTCCCATCTCGAAAAGCACTTTTGTTTACCCCCACAGAAACCGCAGGCTCAACCGAAAAATCCTTGTCCTCATCCTCAGAGGCTTCACATGCCTCAACAAATATCTCATGTCACCACATTGGGGCTCCCCGCCCCGCTTGAAGCACTTCTTTTGCCCTTCAAGTGCCAAGGAAGCATTGCAAGACGCTTTCTTGGCAACTACAGAAAGATAAGTGTGTTTTGTGTAGCTCTGACTGAACTATCCACCTTTGTTTTGCTCTTTCCTCCATCTGATGGTGACAGGGACAGGGCACCAACAAGCCTTGTCCCGTCTCCACCATGGGATGGTGGAAGGGTGCATTGGGTCCCCTGAGGTGCCCTGTGTGCCTGCTGGCAAAATGGAACAGGGGGCAGGGACCTTGTGAAGAGGTCCTTAGAGTCTCAACCAATTCAACATTGTTTGCGGCAGCCACAAAAACAAGGTTTAGTGGAGTATACCAACTATTTTCGAAGTATATACCACACAATTAAACAGGAAATAACACTTTCAAACCAGGAACAGAAACTTTTTCTGAGACTGGGATTTTGGCCTGCATCAATAGGAGCATGGTGTCTAGATCAGGGGTCCTCAAACTAAGGCCCGGGGGCCGGATGCGGCCCTCCAAGGTCATTTACCCAGTCCTCGCTCAGGGTCAACCTAAGTCTGAAACGACTTGAAAGCACATAACAACAACAACAACAATCCTATCTCATCAGCCAAAAGCAGGCCCACACTTCCCATTGAAATACTCATAAGTTTATATTTGTTAAAATTGTTCTTCTTTTTAATTATTGTATTGTTTTGAAGTGTTTTTTGCACTACAAATAAGATATGTGCCGTGTGCAGAGGAATTCATTCTTTTTTTATATTGTGTCCAATTTTGGGCACCACAGTTGAAGAGAGATGTTGACAAACTGGAATGTTTCCAGAGGAGGGAGACTAAAATGATCAAGGGTCTGGAGAACAAGCTCTGTGAGGAGCGGCTTAAGGAGCTGGGCATGTTTAGCCTGAAGAAGAGAAGGCTGAGAGGAGATATGATAGCCATGTATACATATGTGAGAGGAAGTCACAGGGAGGAGGGAGGAAGCTTGTTTTCTGCTTCCCTGGAGACTAGGATGCGGAACAATGGCTTCAAACTACAAGAAAGGAGATTCCGTCTGAACATTAGGAAGAACTTCCTGACTGTAAGAACCGTTCAGCAGTGGAACTCTCTGCCCCGGAGTGTGGTGGAGGCTCCTTCTTTGGAGGTTTTTAAACAGAGGCTAGATGGCCATCGGTCAGGGGTGCTTTGAATGTAATATTCCTGCTTCTTGGCAAGGTGGTGGACTGCATGGCCCATGAGGTCTCTTCCAACTCTTTGATTCTATGATTCTTTACAAATCATTATGAAGCCTGCTATCAGCAACTTAAATAGCCATGGAAGTCCTATATAGATTTTTAGATTTAAGGCATAATTTAATGCCACTTGACCATAAAACAGAACAAGAGCTGAAAAGAGAATGTACTGATTTATTTCCCACATTTGTACCCTGCATTTCTCACCTGAAGGGACTCAGGATGGCCTCACAACAGGCAACAATTCAATGCTGACAACATACAATTCCAAAAATAACTATTGCAATTAAAGCCACATAAATATCAGATAATCTGGGATCCAGTCCTGGAATATAGGGCAATGTAGATGCAGTCTATATCAGATGCTCACTATTTCTAACATGTGCTCTGAAGTTTGTGTGGGTGAGTCTTTTCTAAGTGAGAAAGGGCATATATACACTAACTCTGGGGGAAACCCAATCCTGAGACAAGGCAATTAAAATGTGAATAAAGGAAGATTCTGTTTTTGTCTTTTTTTAAGGCAAATGCTCCCTAGCATCTCTCTCCATTTGTTTCAGCTAGATCTCTGATAGAAGCAGAATGAAGCCACACTGTGTCTTGAGTAATCTCCGAATAACTGGGCAACAAGTGCACTTTGTCCCATCTGACGTGGACTGACCCGGCACTGGGGCTGATTGTGCCCCTTTAGAAAAACAACAACAAGCAGCAACAGCCCAACTACCCACTCATCCAGAAAAGGTCTTTCCCTCCCTTTTTGTTTCTCTTACTCTCCCTTTCTCCCCCTTTTTCTATTCCTGTCTTTTCTCTCTCTCTTATTTCCTCCCCACTTTTATCTTCCCTCCTTCCTCCCCTTTCCTTCTCTTTCCCTCCCCTTTTCTCTTCCTCTTTTTCTATCTCTTTCTTTTCTCTTCCTCCTCCTCTTTCTTTCGTGCCTTGCTCTCTCCCTTTTTCTATCCCCTTTCCTTTTTTCTTTCTTCCTCCCCTTTTATCTTACCTTTCTCCCCCTTTCCTTCTCTGTAACTGAAACACCGGACTGTCCGGTTTTGTTGGATTCGTTCCAGCTTGTTCAGCTTGATGACGTTGACAAGAAACTTGAAGCATTGAGAGTGGCCCCATGCGCACTAGACCTTTGTCCCTTCTGGCTTATCAAAGTTGCCAGTAGAGAATTAGCTGAGTTGCTCCTGGTTGGATCAAGGACAATTACTAGCTAGCTTCAAACAGGCAATTGTGAGATCAGTTTTGGAGAAGGCACCCCTGGATTCCTTGGTACTTAACAACTACCGGCTATTTTCTAATCTCCCTTTCTTGGGCAAGGTTCTAGAGCGAGTGGTGGCTTTTCAGCTCCAGAGATTCTTGGATGAAATCTGGAGTTCGAACTATGCTTCTATTAATGTATCTAGGCCTTTTTTGCTGCGGTATCATATGATTACTTCCTATGCAACTTTGATTTACAGTAATCCCAAGGTCATTTTTCAGATGTAGTGCTGGTGTGCCAAGTATCCTTCATCCTATGCATTTGGTTTCTGTACATTTGTTCCTTTCGAATCCCATTTTATCTATTTCCAGCCCAACTAGCTACCTTTCCTAGTTTTGTATCATCTGCAAATGTGATAAAGGTTTCCTCCAACCCATCATCTGAAACACTGATAAAAATATGGAATAATTACTGTGCCCATGATAGATTGATATACCCACATGATTGAATTAGGGATTCTTTCTTTCATTATAGCTGATTGAAAAATAGAAGAAGACTCACCCCTTTGTATGATTAAAGCAGCCACAGTGTTACAAGTCGCCTGTTCCGATACACCATCATGAAGGATAATATTGCAGCGTCTCAAATAAATAGTGCAAAGGACATAATAAATATGCAAAATTAATTAATAATGCTGTTAATCCGCCTCTTCTTACATCAGGCTTCAAAGATGAAAAATTTAGAGTTTCAATTGCTTCACCCATCTCAGCCTTCAACTCCTGAAATGTCAATCAAATCATGACCGTGCTCTACTTTGTCTTGTGCAATATTTTTTGCTGAGGCTGGATCTACACTGCCCTGTATTCCAGGAACTGCACCAAAAATATCAATTTATGCCAGATTATCTGGCAGTGTGGACTCATTTAATGATGAATTTTAAACTTCTACTCTATGACTAACTTTTGTTTTGTGTATTTTATTGTGTTTTTTATGGAAATATGTTTTAATATGTGTATTCTATGGAGTGTTTTTAAATGATTATGTGTCTTAGCAATGTTGTAACCTGCCTCAAGCTGTTAGGAGAGGTAGGTAAGAAATAATAATAATAATAATAATAATAATAATAATAATAATAACAACAACAATCCAGTTTAAAACAGATAATCTGTTTTAATAATAATAATAACAACAACAACAACAACAACAATCCAGTTTAAAACAGATAATCTGAGATCAGATCCTGGGATAGAGGGCAGTGTAGATCCAGCCTGAATTACAAGCTAATTCCAAAATGGTGATTGTTTCAGACACTGTGACTGGATCTAAACTACCCTATATCCCAGGATCTGATCCCAGATTATCTGCACATTCCAGATTATCTGGCAGTGTAGACTCAGGCCCTTCTATACTGCCATATAATCCAGGTTATCAAAGCCGATAAACCACATTATCTGCTTTGAACTGGATAATATGAGTCTACACTGCCATAGAATCCAGTTCAAAGCAGATGATATGGATTTTCTATGGCAGTGTAGAGGGGGCCTCATATAACCCCAGTATCAGAAAATCTGGGATCAGATCCTGGGATATAGGGCAGTGTAGATCCAGTCTGCAGCAGATACTCACTGTTTCTAAAATGTGCTGTGAAGTTTGTGTGGGTGAGGCTTTTATAAATGAGGAAGGCATATATATACTAACTCTGGGGAAAAGCCAAATCCTGAGACAGGCCAATGAAAGTTGTGAATAGAAGGAGGTTGTGTTTTTTCTTTAAAAAGGCAAACACACTCTCTAGTATCTGTCTCTACCTGTTTCAGCTAGATCTCTGGCAGAAGCCAGAATGAAGCCACGCTGTGTCTTGAGTAAACTCTAAATAAGTGAGCAACAAATGCACTTGTCCCATCTCCCCTTGGCTGGAGTGAAAGAGCTAAGCCAAATGTTACTTCAGTCATTTTCTTTTTGAACCCGGCAATGGGGCTGATTCTGCCCCTTTAGAAAAACAAAAAACAAAGGAAATAGCTGCCCGGGCCCTTCAATCTTCGGAGAGGCTCTCCTTTTGCCCCTGCCAGTTTCACAAGTTTGTCTTGTGGGCACAAGGGAGAGAGCCTTCTCCTCTGTGGCTCCCTTGACTCTGGAACTCATTACCCGGAGAGATTAGGAAAGCCCCTACCCTAGAAACCTTTAAAAAGAACCTTAAAACCTGGCTCTTCCACTGCGCCTTTGGTAAGTAGGTACACAACTGGACACTACTGCTCCCCTCAATGTTTCTGTCACTGGAGTACACGTCCCCTCTCGTGGGAAAGCTTGGTTCCAGAACCCCATTTTTATGAGCTCCCCTTTGCAAATAACCTGCTCCTCCTTTTATCTCGTCCAAGTTTTTTAACATTTTATCCTGCACATGTGGCCCGCCCACTGTCATTGTGATTGTGTTTATTGTAATTTTATATTGCTAATGTATTCATATGTTTTTATGTGATTATGATGTTGTTGCTTGTTGCTTGTATTTTGGTTTTATTTTGCTGTAATCTGTTGTTTGGG